CTCCCAAGCATCCCTGATGGTCTCATCCTCATCCTGAGTAAAATGTGTAATCTGCTTCTGCAGGGCAGCTGTCTTGGATGGAGGATGGTAGCGGGTGAGGAACTTGTCCGCCAGGTTGGCGAACGTGGTGATGGAGCCCGGAGGTCGAGTGTCTAGCCACTCCTTGGCCTGCCCCTCCAGAGTGAATGGGAAGTACCTCAGCTGGATGGCATCTGCTGGTACCCCATTGATCTTGATTCCATCGATGAGCTCGTGGAATCGCCTGAGATGTGATCGAGGGCACTCTCCCTCCTTACCACGGAACACTACTGAACCGCGCAGCATGGTGATCACGGAGGTGCTCACCTCAAAGTTGTTGGCTGGGACATGAGGGTGCTGAATGGGTGACCTCATGTCCGCAGCCCTAGCGGCCCAGTAGGATCCCATGGTCTGCTCCTCGGGGATCAGATTGTGGTTCTGCGGATCACCCATCTCGCCTTCTTCTTCTTCTCCGATCTGTAGCTGTGACAGCGCCTTCTCCGCAGCCAGTCGCGCCTTTAGAACCCGCTTGGAGTTCCTGCAGGTTCGTTCAAGCTCCTGGTCAAGTGGTAGTAGATCTCCCGACTGGCTACGGGTCATGCACTACCTGCACACACTCAGAAGAAACAACCCGTGAAGGCACACAGGTGGAAGAAAGAAAATGCAGAAAATAAAAAGCTAGAGTAACAAATTATCACGTTTCTCCAATAACCTATAGGGGTCCCCGGCAACGGCGCCAAAAACTTGACACGCCAAAACACAACACCAAACTGCGACCAAGTGCAATCGCAGTCCGGGAATGCAGTAACAGGCAAGTTTAATTATCAACCCGGGGTCTAGATCTACTGCTTACTCCGTGATTCTCTATTATCTAGCAACTTAGTTCGAATGATTGTTGTTTAAGCAAAAGCAGTAAGAAAGCAGGAAATGGTTCGGTTTTCAAAAGCAGTTAAGAGTCACTCGGGATTGAGTCCCCCTAGCCCCTTAGTTAGGTTCAATTGTAATTCCCTGGGTTGATTTACTGTTGATTAGACTGCGGAAGATCCGACAGTAGCTTGGAATCTCTTAAGCTGACCAAGCCCTCTCAGTCTAACTACCCGGCAGACGACTAGTCTTCACCGGGATAGAAAGCTGAGGCTATGAACACAGAACTCCACTACTGGCGCCAAGAACACCAGTACAAAGCAGTAAACTGGCTAACTCTCGTATAGCCAATCTCCTACTATCGAATGAAGAGGCTCTAACAACCTAATCAGATTCTATCTATCTCAGGTTGAAGCAGAAATTGAAACAAGCTGATCAGACTCAAATCAATTCATGAAACATGCGTCATTCGATTAAAATCAAACAATAATATCATTCCCAAGTCATTACAATCAAAACCCTAACATCAGGAACTAGGGTTCTTCATACCCAAGTGAGAGAAGGGTTCTACTCCATAGAGAGAGAAGAGAAAACAAGAATCGGATTAGTCATACTCATAACGATGAGGATAATCTGCTCCGGGACGATGATGTTCACTCCTATGGCGATCTCCAGGCTCGATTCGATGAAATCCAGCTCCAAGATAGCTTCTAGGATGAGTTCTTCGCACTTTCTCTCTCTAGGGCTCTGTTTTTGCTCTGAAAACACGATCCTCTTACTTTTGGCTCGGATTAGGCACTAAAACCGGATTTCCCCAGGTGCACGGGCAGGTGCACGGCCGTGCACCACCCCATTCTGGCCGTGCAACTCTCCAAAACGCGCCGTTTCATTTATTCAAGCTCAGCCTCCTTGCACGGCCAGGCGCACGGCCGTGCAAGCCTGGAATGTGCCCGTGCACGGCCTCGACATGAGGCGCACGGCCAAATGGCTTATGTGCACGGCCGTGCAGCCTCCTGGTCTGCCCGTGCACTCCTCCAAAAGCTCGCCCTTCGTCCGTTCTTCGTCCAATCGACCCCAGACTCGCTCCTAAGCCTTCATTCACGTACTAGGACCTGAAATAACACAAACAAGCACAACCTAGCGTGAAATCGGCCTAAAACACGAGAATCAACACCTCAAACGGTGTAAGTATGAGGGTAAAAACATGTGTAAATGACGGTCTATCAGACGCGTTGGCCAGTTCACGACCGTGAAAACCTAAACGCGTCCGTGAATTGAGTCATCTCCAAAATGCACCGCTTTGCTTCCTGGGTTCACGTTCAATGGCCCCAGTTCACGGTCTTAGAGATCGTGAACTCGCCTAGCGTCAGTAACTTCGGATTTGGCCCTGGACGCCTTGATGTTCATGGCCCATGCCTCCTCTTCATGGTCTTAGAAGACCGTGAACTCCCTTGTCCGACCGTGAACTGTGTCTGTTTCTTGGACGCCTTCACTTCACTGTTACGAGGTAATTGTCACGGTGACTTCGGACTTTTCTTCCGTTTTGCACTTTTTTTGACCTCCAATTATACCAAAATTTGTCATCGACCCTTCCACACATGCTAGGACCTGAAATGTATCAAAACAAGCACAAGCTAGTGTGAAATATGTCGAGGAACGATGAAATACTAAGCTACACGAATAAGAAACGAGGGGTAAAGTGTGTACATTTGGGCCCGAATCACGCCCCCACACTTAGACGTTTGCTTGTCCCCAAGCAAACCTAGTACAAAACAAGGTAAGCTTCCAACCTCTTTTTCAACACATTTTTTGGGGCATGTCATAGGGCATAAAACGAATGAATCACAATGGTTACTTGAAACCGACCTATGGACAAAAACAAAGTAATCTTGGGAACAACCACAAACGACATTCAACTATATTAAGATTGTGCAAAAGAAGATTTCTCACATTATTCATCAACCAACACACAACATGCCTCGACGACTCACTAATCATAGTTACTCATGCATGAAGATCACATCATAGGAACGAACGATGGAGCAACCTAGGTCCTGACCGAGGTAAAAGAAATGAACAAAAGATGATGAATGAATCACTCACTCTCGACCAGTGGGGTCAGGACCATTTGATGCAAAAGATGTGCATAATCACGCTCAATCCTAACGTCCCTTCACCATGACGGTAACCTCTGAATGTTAGAGTTCACAAGATGGGTGTCGTTGCTAGCTTGTCCGGAGGTCTTAGACACAGGTTCAAATGACTGGCTAGGGTCTAGGACATTGGGGAAAGGCTTTTTGGGTGGTGGCAAACATAGCACAAGGTTCCACATTTACATCCTAAAACGACAAAAGGTTCTAAGGTTTCGATTACAACCCTCTCCTATACTCAATGGCAAATAGCATCGGCCAAAAACCACACTTCCCTATATTCCAAACCACAACCAATCACCAAACCATTCGCAACAATCTTTCTTGCTACCTTTGCTATTCAATTTCAAGCACAAGAGTGTGGTAGGCAAACAACATGTAAGTGTTCCTAAAGCTTGCATGCTAAGCAACACTTCTAAGTGCATGTTCAACATTTATTACATTTTTGGTGGCCACTCTCTTTTTTCTCTGCCCTCTTATTGATCTCTTTTTTTTTCTTTTTCTTTTCTTTTCTTTTCTTATCTTTTCTTTGGGGGCTAAAGAGAGCTATAAACATGCCACATTTTTTAACTTAAGGAACAATGCTCACTTTGAAAAACTACCTCAACACTCAGTTCACCTCTTAGCAAAACCATACACAATTGCGTCCAAATAGTGACTTCGGACTTTTCTTCGGTTTTTTTTACCTCCAATTATCCCAAAATTCATCCTCGACCCTTCCACACATGCTAGGACCTGAAAATGTATCAAAACAAGCACAACCTAGCGTGAAATATGTCGAGGAACGATGAAATACTAAGCTAAACGAATAAGAAATGAGGGGTAAAATGTGTACATTTGGGCCCGAATCAAATTTCCTCTATCGGTTGTCGATTATGTTGGGGTTAGGAGGTTTGCATATTCTCTTCAACCGTTGTTTCAAATGGTTTGTAGAAATACAATCAAGAGTGATATTTTAAAGATATTCAAAAAGGGAAAGATGAATGTAATGCATGAGTTAGAAAAAGTCAGCAGTAGGGTGGCGATCACCACTGATATGTGGACTTCGAATAACAGGAAAAGAGGGTTCATGGTAGTAACTGGCCACTTTATTGATGATGCTTGGGTCCTTCAGAGTAAGATTTTGATTTTTATCCACGTTCCTTCTCCACATACCAAGGATGTTTTATGTGTTGTATTATTTGAGTTTTATGTTATATCGATCTAATCATGCTCAAAATGACATAAACACACCGATAAATAAATGGTACATAATACTATTTTCGGTGTTATCAATAGCCAAGTAAGACATGAGTCTACTCCATATAAAAAGAAGAACTACAGAAGAGAAGCTGAAAGAAAATATTGAGGTGATGGAATTCGTCTTCTGATGAATAATCTCCAATCTTAGGCTTGATTCTTGTACTCCAATTACGATGAGATCCTCCAAAATAGCTCCAAGAATGATCCCAAGTTCTCTCTTTAGGGTTCTCCCTCTTATTTTATGTTTGCAAAACTCGGATCCCGTTCTTAGAAATTTGCAGACACCTTTTAATACCCATCAGTGGCAAAATCATGGTGAGGAATCACGAAAGTGGTTCTCGTGTTCCTGCTTGTGATTCTCCAAAACTTGTTGTTTCACTTATGATCTTTAGGGGGATCACGTTCTTGATTCTTTTGGGAAGTCACCGTCGTGAATCTCAAACATTTGCTACTCAATCACAAATCTGTATGCAGTAAAGAAAGTAAGTGAGGCAGGTTGACGATTCCATTCGAAGTAACGTAAGAGGATTTTTCGTGTCTTTTAGAAATAGACTGTTTCACAGGCTTATCTCCATTTTATAGAGTGGTACAAATTCATAATGCACAAAATTCCTTATAAATTCAAATATTTTCAATACTTAAGGGATTATTTGGATGAGGAATAGAATAGCTGAGTTGCATCCAAATAAAGTCATTGGATCAAATTGTTTTGTTTGGCAACACCAATTGATGAAGGCGGAATCCCGATTATTAATTTTGGGCTCCCCCGTACCCCTGAGGCGCGAAGCAAAGAATCTCCATTGCAAAGAACGAAGGTTGTCTCGTAGCGAAACAGCGATATTACGCAAAGGGTTGGAGTGAAAGGGTATGGCGCAGCCGTCCTCCCCAGGAAAATTGTCAGTTGACCTCAAAGACGCCATTGACGAGTTGCTTAAGTTCACTATTCAATCGCATATTAATGGGAACTCTGGATTGGATTTGGGCTTATCGATCGACTTCTGCTCTGCCCTTCTCGATGATGACGATGGAACTTCCGCTGCTGTTTCTGGCACGGCCACCAGTAAGTCTATAAAATACCATCTCCAAGCGCAGAAGTAGGAAGTAATTATGCGTTTCTTTATCTGATTGGACCCTAGGGAGTTCTCAACCTCAAGAAATTTTGGCCAGAAATTTTGAATAAGGAGGACCTTTCAAGTTGGGTCTCGCACAGAAAACTGATTCCCGCTAGTGATGGTCAAATTTGTTTCTTTTCTGAAGCTGCAACTGAAGCTTATCTGTTTGTAAAAATATCTGACAGGCAGAGGCAATCGTCCCCCACAGCCTTTATACAAGCTCCTTGCATCAGCTTTATATGGAGATATCATTTCGGGAGACTTTAGTGGGGTATCTCGTGGAGAGGACTCTAAACGGAATGGTGAATGGAGTGCACAAATCATGGCCGCGGCCACTGAACTGGCAAATGTATGATATCAAATGTCGGTGGTAGTATTTTGGTCCTCATTTTGGAGTTACGCTTTTGTCCATAGAAATTTTCCCATACATTTTTTCGTTTCTCCTTTCAGATTTTCTCGTCTATAGAGTACGATCTTCATGTTCAGGAACCATTCTTCACACAGTTAAGAGGTTTGTGAATCTCTTGATATTTAAATGAGTTTTGTGTACAGCAAATGTCTTTCACAATGCTTGTTGCTGTTTCATTCTAGATGGATTGAAAACAGTTGAAGGACGGTGTGCTAGAGGCTTCTACAACCAGTATGGATGTTTTCCTCGTGTCATAAGACATTTTATTTCTTGTATGCAGTCCATGTCATTGATATATCTTGCTGACTTCATTTATGTTTCATTTGTAAATGTACCTGTCCTGAAGTTTTGTGGACTGCTCGGATCATCGTAGTGCATTGTCATTGTACTTGTTCCGTTAATTTCCCTTTTGTTCCTACTTAATATCTATGTGATTGATCATAGAATTCAACCCGGAGCATTGATCCTGTTTAATAAGTGCTTGGTGGTTCGAGTTCAGGTGATGGAAGAAGCTTCTTGAAAGTTTCCTATACTTAACCAATCTGTTTTCTTGTATGCGGTGCCTGATGAGCGTTTTTTACTTTGCTGTGTCCGCAGGGTGTACAGCGATATACTTCTTTCTCGGAGATGCTTGAAGCAGAGGGCCTTGACAAAGTCCTTCCTGGTCTAGAAAGCATTGATGAAGGTAAAAAACGATTTAGGATGTCACAGGACTCCTTGTGAAATCCAATGTTAACTGTTAAATGCATATAACAGTACAAATGTTTCATTGTCGATTCAGGTGCTAAAGTTTATCGAAGGTTTTATACAGAAGATGAGGAAAGGTCCAATGGTGTGATTGGTGTTCGCATTTCAAGAACAGCCATTCAACCATGCAATTACTTGGCTGAAATTATCTCCGTGAGTCTTCTTAATCATTCACCTAATATTATTGTATGATGCCTGCTGTGACCTAATATATATGAGATATAACAAACGGGGAAGGAAAAGGAGACAGCAGATGGGAGGAAGTAGTGTGGGGTGGGTAATGGGATTCATTACATCTTTCTTGTTGTTCTCTTCTTCCGTTAGCGTAATCAGTCCGAAAATAGTCACCATGAATGATATAGTGATTAAGAAGATTGCTTTCACTTGTAGCCCAATGAGTCGGGCAGCTAAGTGTTTGCATTGCAAGCACCAACAGTCCATAATAAAGGAATTAGTTTAACATTTAATATATCCGAATTAGGGACGCCATTTGGGAATTTTTTAGGATTAGAAGAAAATGAAATAGGTTGTTTTTGTTACGGGAAACCATTGGAGATTTGGAGGCCTTGTTTGATCAAAGGAAAATGACGCTGCTCCATGAATCATGGGTATTCTTTCCTAGGGAAAGGTTACATTGATCAAAGTACGCAATTTACCATGATGGAAAGGTGTTTGACATTAAGATTTCAGGGTACAGGTTTTTAGTTAGTGGGCAAAGACGAATACGATAAGTTGACATGTAGGATACTGACTCGTTTGTACCGTTACACTAGAAAGTTGCCAAGTGTAACCACCTACTAATGCGTAGTATAGCGGGTTTAGTTCTAAATGTCAATCCGGGTCCTAGGTGTGATGACTACTCCGTGAGATTTTTATTATTTAGCGGTTAACCTGTAGTGAAGCCAAGTTTGAGAAAGGTCACCCAGATATGGTTCCCGTAGACTGCAGTTAAGCCAAGTTGTAATTCGCCAAGTTCAGATTCAATGATAATTATACTGCGGGAGGTTCTTAAACAGTCTGCAGTCTTGACTAAAGGTCTCCTAACCCTCTCAATCTGAGTCTCTAGCGGGCCACTAACCTCCATCGGAGTAAACAGATTGAGGCCCTAACGTACCAAACCTCCTCTACTGGAATAAATCCAGTACAAAATAGTGAATTGACTCCTCGACTAAAGTCGCCAATTCACTACCTTCAATTAAGGGTGCTCTATCAACCTAGACAGATATTCTCATTCTTGGTCAAAGCAGGAATAACATGAATTTGATCATGATTCATGCAATTCAGAAAATCATGCTTCAATTGAATATAATCAGTATCAAAGAATTCTTACTTGGGTTCATACAATCAGACCTAACATACAAATCTAGGGTTCTTCATACTCAGGTGAGAAAGGAAGTTTACTCCATAGAGAGTGAAGGAAAATCTGCTTAAGATGCGGAATTCATACTGTGAAGGATGAGGATCTGCTTCTGGTAATCAATCGGCACTCCTTCAAGCTTCCACCGAGCTTCAATGGTGTTGAATATCGATTTAGGGCACTTGGAAGTTTTGTTAGTCACTTTCTCTCTCTAGGTTTTCTGCTCTCTAGCTCACAAAATCATATTCCCCTCTCTCCTTGGCTGAAATCTTCCTTTAAATCTGAGATTGGGCAAAACACAGTCGAGGACACGACCGTGTTTTGCCTCTGCACGCCTGTGTTTTGCTTCAAGTAAGGCAAACACGCCCACGTCGCTCCCAAAACACGGTCGTGCCCTTGAAATGACACGGCCGTGTTTTGGTCCCATGGCGCCCGTGTTTTGGATCCTCAACAGCCCTCGTGAGCACGCTCTCGGCAGTAAAAACAAGGCCTGAGGAACACGACCGTGTTTTGGTCAGGGCTGCCCGTATTTTGGCTCCAGCCTCACCGAACAACCTGAAACTCGTGCCTAGCCTTCCCTTCGACGCTTGGGACCTGAAATGTGACAAAATAACACAACCCAACGTAAAATAGGCCAAAGATACACGAATACGGGCCGCAAACGGATAATAAATAAGGGTGCAAACACGTGCAAATACATAGTTATCAGATACTGATACAAATCAGCTGTAGTAGCAGTTAGCCATCTCCGGATCATATAAACATATGGATAGCTTTGGAGCGGGTTTGCCTAAACCAACCTCATCTTCATTTTCAAATACCCATACCCCATGCGGTGAAAGGTTTTACAAATCCATCCCCATATCCGCGGTTTCCGGATACCCATGGGTAATACCCGCCCCATCAACTACTCTCCATTAATAAAAGAATATGGTGACAAATATGATACTACCCGCCCAAAATTATGGAACTAATAGATATGATGAAATTACGGTTTGGTTGTCATCAGTTACATTTTAACACTTTATTTTTGCTTTTAATTACCCTTCATTCTATTGACAGGTTACAATAGACTCCTTATATTTTATGCATATATAACATAATATCCTTGGTGGGGTGGGTTTGAATATAGAGCGGGGGAGTCCAAACCCATACCAAACCCATAGTCATAATTTTTTTTTTTTGCGGGTTTTATTCATACACGCCCACATACCCAATTAAAATGGGGATTCCCCGCGTTGAATGGATCGGAGGCGGTCGGGTACCCTCGTCCATGAGTTTGATTGTCATCCCTATATAAACACATCATTTGCATATGGAGAATTTATATTTTGTCCGATTCATCATTGATTCTTCGATGACGAGTTTATCTTTGCGGAATCTGACATTCATTATGTTCTTATGCTTTAAATCTTCAATCCAGTGTTTGTGCAGCAGCGGCAAGCTCGAGACCCTTGTGAGTTGTTTAGAACCTTCACAGAGTTAGTGTTGCTTCCACCAAGGCTGAGTGTAAAAGGAGTGCAAAAATTGTGGTCGAAGAAATGTACGGCACCGTAACTTCAGGCTTCTGCACTTTCCCGTGGACCATCTTTATGCAATGCTGATGAGTCTGCAGCAGTTCTATGATGTGCCAACACAAAGCCCTTCTTACATGTCTTGTTTCTCACGTCGAACCAGAAATGGGAAGAGCTGGAACTAAATTCCAGCTTCCGAGACAGATCAAGAAACTAAAACTTGCCGCAATAGTAATACCTTTCGTATGGTTCTTCCTAATCCTATCCGTCTCTTTTCCCATCCCATGGGGATTGTCTCTTCTTCAATATCTATGATCCAGTGTGGCTACCCTGTATGTTCTCCTTCTGGATTTGATAATCGAACGAGGATCTTTCAGTTTGATTCAATTGAACAACCAATACGTTCGTGAAATGTATCTATTTGAGAACAACTGAGGACTCGAGTTTACTAAATGTCATTCTCGTGGCAAATCGTATTGCTCGGATTGGATTACTCGTTCTAATTAATTGCTAGTTTGATTGCCACTTATATGACTAGCACAGTGTCCGGCCGGTTGTTCGGAAAATTTTGTTGAGAAATATGGTATATATTAATGGATATAATAGATTATTTGAAATGTATGAAATGATTGTTTTCTAATTTAGTTATGCAAATAACATTTTTGAAAGTGATCCAATTATGCATAATGTGTTTAGACCTCCATGAGAAGAGAAAAAGTATAATACAAAGATTACATATAATTATTGAATGAAAAAATATAACTAATTGTCATTCATTACTTAATTAAACCATATAGTTGAATATTATAGTTGCTTCTCATAATACATACATAATCAACCTTTAGGATGAAAGAAAATGTCTCATATAGGTTAGTATGTCCTTTAAGTTTTTCTCAATAGCGAGCATTCTTTTTTACCACACTGTTGGTAATGAATATTAAGTTGCTTGATTTTAAATATATAAGACATGATGCTAAACTGTCGCTAATAGTTAGTTGGACAATGTATTGTGTACGGACTTCCCAAATTATTCTCAGATCGCAGAGATGTCTAGCAACAATATAGTAATTTTCAGGCAACAAATATTTTTTCATGAAATAATTCTATAAATAAAAACGTATGAAAATAATATTACATGAAATATATGTTACTCATTAAGTTGATGAATGAGCGAGGGTATGAGTAGCGTACATTTATTTTAAAAATATAAAAGTTGTGAAGTGTCTTTTCGGTTGCATGAGATCACATATTCTCATTATCGCTAACTGACTTGTGCTTTTTTGCAATATATAGTTCAAAATGTGCCTTAAAACTTTTGTTTCAACCAGTGTAAAAGAATTGTTTGAACCAAACGATAGTAAAATCGTATCAAAAAAGTTAGTAGAGTATTTTATACTGAAGTCATAATTTAACTGTGGTTCAACCGTTTCATATTGTTAAATATCACCTATCGATTTAGCCTATGATGTGAAGTTTTATGGTCTAACCACTAGTAAGTACGATCTTTCAATACAAACTTTAAATAAAAAAAACCACTAAAATATTGACATTATCAAATACCTTTTATATCTCAGAAATTACAATAATCGTATTAAGGAAAAAAATCTTCCAAATGATAATATTGATTTAGGATTTTAAATTGAAATAGAAAAATATGTCAAATTTAATGTCATTTCCTAAAATAAATCAAAACTCAACATAATAGGGCCAAGAATATCCATTAATCAAAGCAAAAGTGCAATTATTTCACATTCCCTCATTTTCGTCCTCTTTTAAATATGTCTTCTCACTCTTCATTTGCCTTCCTCTTTGTTTTTCCATTTGTTCTTCCATCTCCCCCCAGCTTTATATCTCACAACTCTCCCCCTTTTCCCTTCCTCTTTCTTCCCACCGCCTGTAATCGAGAGAAATCTAGAAACAACTCGATTAGTTCTCCAATTTTGCGTTCAAAATGCTTCTTCTCCATTCACAGTCGATAGTGTGAATCAGAGCATCTGAAACCTGACGAATAGATTGTTGCTTATTCATCGATGGAGCAAAGTAGCTTGATAGCTTGTGAATAAACTAATTATTAAAAGTGATAAAAAAACAGAACTCTTAAACCAATCGAGTGAGTGTATAGTTAGTTTATAACTTAAAGCCTTAAACCATTGTATTTATATAAAGAAACAAAATGCATAATCAGGTTCATCTTCACTTTAAATGTATTTGCCGTACAAATTCATTACACATAAAAAAAATGGTTTTAATCGACGCCATATCAACTAAATCTCATCTTATGGTTATTGGATCCATGTCAGATTAGCAAAAGGTCTAAGGCTATTGGTCAACCGGGCTGAAAATTAATACTAATTTAAGAATTATATATCGCTTCCAAAATGTTCAATACTACAATTCAATATGCAATATTCAATATTCAAACAAATGATATATGCATTTCAACCCTTTCTCAATTTTTTTAGACCCCCCCCCCCAAAAAAACACACAGAAATTTGCAAAGAAATACTAAATCACAATTTCTTTTCACTCTACTTGCTTCT